AGCTTAGGTCGCCACTTTGCCTTTATGATAAAGTTTAGACTTATATCCCTATTTGGCTTTCTCAACTCTTGCCATTACTCTCTGGTAAGGGAGTCTCTTAACTTTGACTCAACCTCAAGGAAAGTCTCTTTATGAAAATTTCGGGGTGTTACACATACAGATTCTAATAACTAACAATATCGCAATAACAAGTGTCAATATGAAAATTTATAAATTTTAATTTATATCATAAGAACTGATATAAAAATTTACAAGAAATTCATAGGTAAATTTATAAGTGTGTGTGTGTGTATATATTAACAACCAACAATAACAAAAAAAAAACGTGATTAGGGAACTTCACCCAAAGTTAACTACACCTAAAGTTGACGTGAGTTTTGTCTTTCAAAAAATTTCACATCTATCCAAATTTGAAAACCAAAAAGGAAAGCATTTTATTTTTGTTTTTAATTAATAACATATATTACGTACGTTGCGAGAGTAATTATTATACCAAATTTATATTATTTCGTTTTAATTTGCTGTCGTTTTCTTTGTAATTCAAACAGGGGCAATCTATTTATATAAAGTTTTTGTTATTGCCAGCATCTATTTATATAAGGTTGCGCCACTTGCGTATTCAAGAAATTTACCGTGCTTCTTAATATTTACTGTGTCAAAACGTTAAGCCACACCCAAAATTCTTTGGAGTACGGGGTAATTATCTTTAAGAAGGAATAAATCATCCACATTAGTGAATAATTTGTTTATATATAAATTTTATGAAAGTCCAAAATAAAGCCTCTTGCAGTATAAAAATCCCAAATTGGGTTAATGGCAAAGCACTTTTTCCCCCCCAAAGGCCCCTCTTATTTTTTAAAGCCACCTTTGCCAATGACCTGCTGCCACTACTGTTAGCAACTAGAGCTCCGACAACCGGGAATAATTTTATGATAAAAGTTTTCTATCGAATAGCTAATAGGAACCTGTAAATTAATAAATTAGACTTGTTAATTTTTAAGATTGTGTCATTGTAACTGAATACCAATAAAGATTTATATATTGAAGAGCACAATTTTAATTTATGACAAAAATTTTGTTATTAGTAGCTAATGGGCGACTTGTGAAGTACTAAATTAGACTTGTTAATTTCTAAATTTATCTTGTGATTGAATAATAATAATAATAATAATAATAAGAGATGTTTATTAGAGAGTGCAACTTTATTGCAAAAGTTTTGTTATGAATAGCTAATAAAACTTGTGAATTGCCAAATTATAATGTTGATGGTTTTTCACAATAAGTGCTGATTCTTATTTGTTGTTTAGAGCAGTTTAGAATAATTTTTTCATGATCAATTGAGTTGGGTTTAGCAAAAAGTGTCAATTATTCGTAGTGAACTAAGATTTAAATTCTTATTGAAAGAGTTGTTTACATTTAAAAAATATTCCTACTCATTTTTTCTTAATTTTTTCCTTCTTCATTTTCTCTTCTTCCAAGTGAGGGGTTAGTGTCCATTTGTTCCTCAATCACGATTAAGGAGGGGGAAAAAAAGAGCTTTTCCAAATTAAGGGGGCAATCAAAAATAAAATAAACAAAAAGCCAAATGAAAGATTAACATTATTGATAATAACCAAATAACTAATTTTCTCTATTTATATTTAGACCAGGCATAGAAAAGTCATGTGATTATGTAGGATACTAATATTTATGCTCACTACTCCTTTTCTCTTCTGAAAGCACATCATTTCTCTATCCCTTTTGAACACATGATGAAGAACACACCACTGTGGATTTTGGTTCTGTATGTGCTTGTTTCGTTCATCATTATTGCTAGCCACTCAGCCCATGATTCAGCAGGTAAAAGATTAACCACTTAGGGTATGTTTGTATTGGCGTTGGACAAAACTGACTTATAGTCTAACTGACTTTTATAACTGAAGTTAGAGTAAAAGTCAGTTAGTGTAATATGATTTATGTTTGGATAGGTGCTTATAAAAAGTCAGTTGAAAAAGTTAAAAGTTGTTTGGATAATTAATAGAAAAGTTAGTTTAGTTGTAAATGACTGAAAAGGGCATGGATTTTATTGAATAATAGTGTTTGAAATTTAATATTTTTAATGTGATAATAGTTTAAAAAATACGTAAAATTATTATGATAAAATATAAATAGTTTATTTGTGAGATTATAAAATAAAAATATTTGTTATGGAGAAAAATTTGAAAACATTGTAGATAATTAATTAAATATACATAATGGATAAACAAGAATATAAATTAAAATTTATTTGGTCTCTAATTAAAGTAAACGAAATCATATGACTAATTAGATCGTAAGCTTTACACAATTTTCCCATAAGTCAGTTAGAAAAGTTGATTCAGATTACGTTGGATAAGTCAGTTAGAAAAGTTACTTTTTCCCATAAGTCAGTTAGAAAAGGAGTCCCATCCAAACAATCTTCTAAGCTGCAATAAGCCACTAACCTCAGTTTCACGCTTTCCCGTGTGCTTTTGGCTTCTCCAACTGCAATCCAAACATAGCCTTAACCTTCATGCTTTTCTGTTATTCCTTTTTCTCCTAAATCTACATTGAGGAATTTTTATTTAAAACAAGGAAAATAATTAACATATTGGTTCAGATTTCATAAGCATAGATTGTGGGGGAAGGGGGGTTTACTTGGACAGACAAACCGGAATCTGGTACCAGACAGATGAAGACTTCATTGGCAGTGGAGAAAACTACGAAATATCACCCAACTTCGAAGATTTCCACACCTACGCCGACAACTAAAGACGGTTAAGAAGTTTTGCGGAGGGAAAAAGGAACTGTTACGTCATGAAACCAAAACAACAAACAGAACAGAAGATAAATCAAACGTATCTGATCAGAGCAATATTTTCATATGGGAATTATGACAACAAAAACACAGTTCCAGTCTTCGATCTCTACTTTGGGGCCAATTATTGGATAACAATTCGGCTGCCTAATGCAACTTATTTCCAATTCGAAGAAATCATAATCCAACAGCTTCCTTCTGATCACTTGTTTCAAGTGTGTCTGGTGAATATTGGACTAGGTACTCCTTTCATTAACACTCTGGAATTAAGGCCACTTTACAACTCTCCCTATTCTGCAGTTTCACTTCCCTTGTATCTACGGTCCCGAGTCAATTGTGGCTCTACGCTTGGGATCCTTTTTACTAGGTAGGTGCTCTTTCATTTTTGTTACGCTACAATAATTAACTAGCTTTTCTCAATATTTTGTGAGACTTTATGTGAATAATATATATATTTGAGAAGTAAAAGATGTACAGTAAATAAAAAGCAAAAGCTATTATTATTTGAAAGTATAAAATACCACTATTTTATATGACCTTGAAAATTGATCTTTTATATACATTCGTACATATACATATAGGTGGACTGAATGATGGAAAAGTAAAAAAATATTATTAACTCTTCATAATATCAAAGATTTTAATTCAGTTATTATCCTTAAATGTGTGTTTATATCATTGATATCGAACAAGTTTGGTGCTCATTAGATGTGGACTACGCAGATTTAATTTGAATGGTCTAGATTTAAAATTTTTAATTAATTTTTTAGATAGAACAAGTTATTTTTTTAAAACAATTATAGCTAAAAAATTATTTTTATTTAGACTTTATACCCATTAAAGTAATTATCTTAAAGAAATAAAAAATAAAAAAAATTCAAATTTGGACTGTCAAAATAAAATCTGGACTTTCAAGATATGATAAGTTTGGTTGCTCATCAAAGTGACGAGAAGCACCTGGGGTTTTTAAAGGAGGGAGAAGCTAGGCTCCCCTCCCTTTGTTTGCCTCAAACAAATTTGATAGCTGTAGTCTTTTTTAATTGGTTTAGTTAACCCATTTTCAATTCTCCTGTCCTCCTACCCCATCTATTGTTTGATTCAATCAAGGGCAATGGATGGAAAGGTAGGAGAACGAAAATTTTAATAAGTAGGATTTAAAAAAAATCAGACAAGTGAGGTTAAAAATTTTTTAATCAATTTTTTACTCTCCTTTCGTATTTAACATATCACTTACTCTTTTTTTTTTTTTTTAAGCTGAACCCGTTAATATTTTTTCTCCCTCGAAGAATTTTGGAGCTGAGGTTTTTATTAAATTCTCAAATTGCTCTTAAAATAATAAAATCTCTCCCCTAGTCTCCCCTCCCTTCGCACTATCTCCTCCATAAATTCCCTCCCTTTCTCTCGTTCCGCTCACTTCCATTAAGGTCTCTCCCTCCTGCTTCTTCTCTTATGTTGAAAGGGACACAATGTATAATTGTTGGGACTGGGAAGCATCCTAAAAAGAGGAATCCAATTGACCTTACAACAGCTTCTTTTTAATTCAAAACTTTAAAATAATAAATTTATGGTCATACCACTTATTCACCTTTTAGCCCATCTTTATTTAATGTAGGACACACTTGTCACCCAACAATTTCAAAATCAATTATACATTTATCAAAAGTTCTATATATCCCCAATGTTTTTAAATACTTTTAAATTTTAATCACGCTAAACTTTAATTAAATTACAATATTGAACTTAAGACATGCAGAATTTTCTATGCATATTATTTATTGTATAAAAAACTCTTGTTATCAATACTAATACTTTAAAGGGAAAATCACTTTGTAGATACCTACATTTTCCTCTCAATTTTTAATTTTATGCCTATGCATTTTTCTTTCTTGATTAAATCATTTATTTGTGCTCTATTAATATGATAACAGTGTTAACAGACCAAAGTTATATGGACTAACAGTGCAGCTAACAGGAAAAAAAATTAAGAATTTAATCAAGAGAACAAAAGTCTGAATACCATAAGGAAAATTACATATAGATACTTGCATGGCTTTCTCACTTTAAAATCCATTTTGTCCCAATTTGATTGAACAAAAGTATGTTAAGAACATAAGAGTAGTCTTTTTCCGCGTACAAAGAGCTTTTGTTTTTGTTCAAACAAGTGGGTATGCGCACTTTACCGCAGGTACAAGGACGACGCATTCGACCGCTTGTGGAAAACACGTCATCGTAACGCTTGGGATGTCGTAAAATCAAGTGTAGAAGGAAACACAGAGAACTCCACCTATGAGCTGCCATTAGAAGTATTACGCACTGCATCACAACCCCTAAACAATTCCAATGTCTTAACTGCAAATTGGAGTTACGATATATCTCATCAATATTATCTGTTCCTTCGCTGAAATTCAGAAGCTTCCTTCTGACCGCAAGAGGATTATCAATGTCACTTTTGATGATGATGACAATTCATCACCCGCTCATGTACTTACTCTTCAATACTTGAAGCCTGTCACCTTAAGTTCCAACAAGATAAGTAAAGGTTACGTTAGTTTCACTATCATAGCAACAGCTGATTCAGATGCTCCTCCAATCTTGAATGCCTACGAAATTTACGAAGCCATCTCACAACCCAATTCCCCTACAGCAACACAAGACGGTATTTCTATTACTACCTTCAGTCATCAATATAAGATTTATTTTCTAGTATAATTTGCACTACAAAATAGATCTTATACTGGAGATAGTATTTCTTTTTCTTATCATTCATTTGTTTTGGGTATCGTTGTATCAGTTTTTCCTTTATCCATATAATCACCATACTAAATCAAAACAGAATAAAAAACTATACTGTGTAATGAATTTATGATTGGAAATTTTGTAGTTGATGCCTTGTTGGAAATAAAGCATACTTATGGGATCTCCAGAATCAGTTGGCAAGGGGACCCATGTGTTCCATCTAAATTAGCATGAGATGGCCTGATTTACACCGCCAACGATAATATAAGGATCCCTTCATTGTAAGTAGCCCCATAGTTCTACTCTTATTTATGATATGTTATATTTGATGCATTCAAGGACAATATCTTGCATACAATAGTTAAGGATGAGAGTAGAATGCCGTAATATTTCAAGGTATGAACATTACCGTGTGGTGATTTTTTTTAATTCATGAAATGCCAGCATGTCTTAATTTGATGATATATCTCAATCATGTATGTGTGTATGTACTTGAACGCATAACCCTTAGTTTCCCTTTCGTTTCTCTCTCTTAGTTACGTTGCTTACAATGGTGGATAAATTACAAATTGTAGGAACTTGAGTTCAAGCAACCTCAAAGGTGAAATAAGTAAAGCCTTTGCTAAATTATTAAAATTGGAGTCCTTGTAAGTTTTCGCATAAGATAGGCTCTAAATTTCAAATACTACTACTGAGCATATTGTTAGATTTTATGAATAACGCTTAGTCTTGTTCACAGGGTTTTGTCGAACAATGAATTGGCTGGACAACTACCAGAGTTTCTCTCAACTCTTCTGAATTTGAAGTTCACGTAAGATCTTAATTAAAATTACATTTGATAGCCTTTCGTGTTCATGTTTATTGTGAAGTCGTGTACCTTAGAATTCCACTTGCAGTAATTTGGCAGGAAGCTTACTGGTTCAATTCCCAATGCTTTGAAGGAAAATGCTGAATTGCAGCTAAGGTTTACTTTTCTTCAATGTTAAATTCTATATTTCAACTAGTTCCTCCATTGTTTTAACTTTTAAAGCATTAAGGGACAAAAATAACCCTAAATTGCAAGCATAGAAGCAATCTACTTTAATATGATAAATCAAATATGACATGACATAATGTGTATTATATATCCTTATACTGTTAAGCCTAACCCCTGCTCTATTTTGCCAGTGTGTCCAACAATCCAGGTCTTTGCCAAAAGAATTCCTGCCAAAAACACAATTTTGTAATTCCACTTATTGCATCAGTTGCAGCTTTGGTCATCCTAATTGTTATTGTTGCTCTGGTGATCTGGAGACTTAGACACAAAAGAGGTATTTGTGCTTACACATGCTGCCAATTCATTAATAGAACCTTATCCCCAGATTCTTTATTTATTTTTAAATATTTGTACATGCCCTGAGTCCCTGTCTTCAGACAGTCTAATCTCTTTAGGTGGAGACAAACTTTGCAATAAAATAATAAACGTTGGCTCTAGGATTCACGTCTCTCTGGACCATCGTATTCTATATATATACAAGAGTGTACAATGATAAGATGACACCTGTCCTAGCAATGGATTGTTCTAGAACTACAAAAAGGCATAAAATATTTACTACAGTAAAAAATACATCTAACTCCCTCTGTCACTTCGAACCTCCTTTCTTTTCCTCTTCCTTTCCAAGGCAATAGTAGGTTGCTGTGGTTTCTCTACTGGTGCAACTGTTACTCCCAATTTATCTCTCAAGTAACTAAAACGTGAGTGATGAAGAGGCTTGGTGAGGCAATCGGCCACTTGATACTCTGTAGGAACATATTGAACTTTGAGTGATTTAGACAAGACTTGGTCTCTTATGAAATGTGCATCAATTTCAATGTGTTTGGTCCTTGCATGGTGTACCGGATTCGAGGCTAGTGCTGCTGCACTTGTATTATCGCACCATATGGTTGGTATCCTCTTAATTTTCAGTTTCAGTTCAGAGAGTAGAGAGGAAATCCAACATAATTCTGTAGCAATGTTGGCAAGGGACCTATATTCAGATTCTGTACTTGATCTTGCAACTACCTTTTGTTTCTTGGAGGACCAAGTGACTAAGGAGTCTCCAATAAAAACACAATACCCTCCAATTGACCTCCTATCATCTGGACAAGAGGCCCAATCGGCATCTGAATATGCTATAATATCCAGCAATGTTGATGGTTTTAAATGGATGCCGTGATGTATTGTTCCCTAAAGATATCTTAATACTCTCTTGATTGCTTTCCAATGTTTTGTTGTGGGCTTAGACAAAAATTGACTCAACTTCCCAACACTGAAACTAATATCAGGCCGTGTGTTGCACAAATATTATAAAGCTCCAACTGCACTTCTATATACTGAAGGATTGGACAGAGGTTCACCTGAATGAATTGATAGTGATTTATGTGCAGCCATAGGTGTATTACATGGAGAGGCATTATTCATACCAAATCTATGCAACAGATCTGTAATGTATTTTCTTTGTGTCAAATAAAGCCCTGTTCTGTCTCGAAATGCTTCAATTCCCAAAAAATATTGAAGAGACCTAAGGTCTTTCAGGGAAAAAATACTGTGAAGTTTGGCTATGAAGCATTTTAGACTGTACGAGTTACTTCCAGTCACAAGTATGTCATCAACATATATCAGAATCATTAAGATTTGGGACTTGTCTGAATAAATAAATAAAGAGATATCACTCTTTGAATTTTTGAAACCCCAGTCTAACAAAACATTTTTCAGCCTCTCAAACCATGCTCTTGGAGCTTATTTTAGCCCATAAAGAGCTTTGGATAGCTTGCAAACATGATTAGGCTTAGTTGAATCAATAAAGCCTTCAGGTTGCTCCATATACATAGGTTCAGCTAGAAAACCATTCAAAAAAGCATTATTAATGTCAAGTTGCCTAATTTCCCAGTTAAATGAAACAGCAATGGTAAGAATGATTCTTATTGTAGATGCCTTAATAACAAGACTAAAGGTATCATAACAGTCAATACCTTCAGTTTGCTGAAAGCCCTTGGCAACTAGTCGTGCTTTTCTCTTGGCAAGTGTCCCATTGGGGTGAAATTTTGACTTGAATAGCCATTTGTTCTCAACTACATTAAACTTGGAGGACCGTGGAACCAACACCCAGGTTTTATTTCTTTGGAGAGCATTAAACTCTTCTACCATTGCTTGTTTCCATGGTAGAGATTTTAACGCTTTTGCTGCTGTGTGAGGAACAATCTCTTGTGATTCAGTGAGTCCAATGTAAGGTGTTTTTGGCTTGAAGATTCCTTTCTTGCTTCGAGTCTCTATAGGATGAATATTTTGTGTAGTTGGAGCTTGAGAAATGGAGTTCTCAGATAAAACATTAGAAGAATCAGGAGGCTGAGATGATTGAAGTTCATGTTGTTCGTGGGCTTCCAATGATTTTTCTTGCTCGTTTGTCACTGTTTGTGGAGAATTGTTGAGTTGATCAGGATCACAGGGAGCAATTTCTTGATTTATGTTGTTGTTGGCAGAGGAGGAAATAGATGTGGTATCCTCTGCTCCCTTACTCGGTGCATTCACTGTAGTTGAATCAACGCTTTTCTCATTGTTGTGTTCCTGTAATTGATCAACAATGTGAGTGTGCTGCAAATGTACAGGAAATGAGTGAGTAATATCCATCACACGAGAGTCTTGGGGCTGTTTCAAGTTAATAAACCCATTAGAAAATGGGTATTCATCTTCATCAAAGACAACATGTCTGGAAATATAAGTTCTCCCTGTAGTGCTGAGACATTTATACCCCTTGTGAGATCCACTATATCCAATAAACACACATTTGGCACTGTGAAATTGTAGTTTGTTCTGATTATATGGCCTGAGGAGGGGATAGCAAGCACAACCAAAGGGTTTAAACCCTGTATAATTTGGTTGTTTTTTATGAAGGACTTCAAATGGTGATTTATTGTTCAGGACAGGAGTAGGAAGCCTGTTAATAAGGTGCACTGCAGTAGAGAATGCTTCCCACCAATAGTACAGTGGCATTTTGGCTTGAGCTAGTTGTGTCAATCCCATTTCCACTATGTGTCGGTGTTTTCTTTCTACTCTACCATTCTGCTCAGATGTATGGGGACATGGATGTCTGAAAATAATTCCACTATCATCAAGTAAAGACTGAAAAGATCGGTATCCACCTCCCCAATCACTTTGAAGGACTTTAATTTTTCTTTCAAATTGGTTTTCAACCATATTTTTGAAGTGTTTAAAAGCTGACAGTGCTTCTTCCTTGGTTTTAAGCGGATACAACCATGTAAATCTGCTAAAATCATCCAAGAAACTAATATAATACTTATAACCAGCAGTAGATTTAATAGGTGACGGTCCCCATAAGTTAGTAGATACAAGATCAAGGGGATTTGCTGCTCGAGAGTGGGACTTTGAGAAAGGAAGTTTGTGTGACTTTCCCAATTGACATGATTCACAAAACTTAAATTCTTCATTGGATTTCAAAGACAGATTACAATCACGCAACACTTGCTTCAACACTTGCCTAGGCGCCTATGCCAAGTTTCTAAAATAGAAAGAAAGATACTTGATTCACATTTCTTTTCTAACTCAGGTCTACTCTTAGCAAAAACAAACTGAATAGAGGCAATATCTTTAATAGTCTCAGTCCTTCTAGCAGGGACAACAACATTATCAATCCTATATAGTCCTTGAGTTGATCCTTGTGTTGTCACTCCTTGCAACAGTACCTTATGCTGCTTCTTGTCCTTCACAAAGCAACCATGTGAGTGAACTTCAACAAAAACATTGGAGTTGTCATTAGTCAACTTGTATCCACTGATAAGGTTTTTAGAGATTTTAGGAACAACCAAAACATTATTCATTTCTAAAGTTTGAGAAGGAGTGTCACAGATCAATTTAGAGTTTCCAGAGTTAACGACGTCAAGAGAAGCACCATCACCAACAAGGAGTGAATTTATACCTGAGGTTCCGCCACTTGAATCAACATTCTCATATGAGTGTGTGACATGATGCGTGGCACCTGTGTCTAAGTACCAAGCTGGATCAGTAACAGATTCAGGAGTAGCGATATATGCTGAGGCAGCTTCACTTTTCTTGGGACCCCGGTAGTTCCTATCATAATGATGATAGTAATGTGATGTCTCATGCCCTGGCTTGTCACAGTGATGACAATATTTATCAGACCTTTTGCCTGAGTTTCCACGTCCTCCTCTACCTCGACCTCTACGGCCTCCTCTGCCTCTCCAGTTACTAAATCTGTTTGAATTATTATTTTGAACAGAGAGATTAGCAAAGGCAGTTGACATGCTGGACTGATTGATAGCTTGTAGTTGATCCATACGAGCTTCATAAGTAAGTAGCTTAGACTGGAGATCAGCCCAGGATAAATTATCCTTCTCGGTCAGCATCACCACAATGGGTGTGTAATCTGCATCTAAGCCTGCAAGAGTCTGAGTAACTAGATCAGTAAGTACTAATGGTGAACCAGCAAGTGTTAAATTATCAGCGATTGATTTCATTTTGCCCAAATATTCTTTCATCTTCTGGGTGCCTTTTCGAGTGTTTTGAAATTCACTCTTCAGAAAGGTAATGCGAGATCTCGTGCTAGCACCCACGAGTTCCTTTACAGCTTGCCACAGTTGATTTGCAGTCTTGCAATGGGTCATCTGAGAGGCTAGATCGACAGTCATTGTGCTAAGAAGCCAGCCAAGGAGAATCTGATCGGTCGCCTGCCAATCTTCAAATGCTGGGTTTAGATGTACTTCTTCAGCAGCGTTCATGATGTATTCTGGAGGTGTAGCCTTAGATCCAGTGAGATATCCTTCTAATTGATGTCCTCTAATGATTGGTAACACCATAGATTCCCACGTAATGTAGTTTTCTCCATCCAGCTTGATGGAGTTTGCTTGATTCAAGGAGCTCAGTAGAGGAACAGGCTGAGTTTGAACATTAGGAGCCTGATAAAAGTATGGATAGACCAATGGCAATGGTTGATTGGGGATAGTGTGCGTTTGGGAAGTTGGAGGTATGCTTGACGAAAAAGACGATGGGACTGTGGAAGAAGATGAGGTGGAGTAAATGGGTTGATGATAAAAAGGAAAAGGGGTGGCGGTTGGTGATTGAAAGGTGAGGCTAGGGTTTGGTGAGGCAAAGGTAAAAGGTGAGAAGGAAAGAGGTAATGGCATAGAGGACGAAAGACCTGTGAGGGAAGGTGATTGAGATGTAGCGATGGAGACTTGACTGGTAAAAGCTTGGGGGTTGGTGACTGGTGGGGCTGGCTGAGATGAAATAGTAAGAGTATTAGAGTTTTCTGGTGTGACGGCGGCGGGGTTAGGGTTTGATGGGTTAATGGTGGGACTCCCCATGGATGACGATGCCATTGCTGACAGTGTGGCTCTGGTACCAAGACAAACTTTGCAATAAAATAATAAACGTTGGCTCCAGGATTCATGTCTCCCTGGACCATCGTATTCTATATATATACAAGAGTGTACAATGATAAGATGACACCTATCCTAGCAATGGACTGTTCTAGAACTACAAAAAGGCATAAAATATTTACTACAGTAAAAAATACATCTAACTGGTGGGCAATGATCTAATTAAGTTCAATTACTTGCTTTTACACCTTTATAAGATCATGAAAGTCTCACAAAATTTCATTTAATGTTGTAGTCATCCTAAGAGAATCTCAGAAAAGGGAAGCTGTAAAACACAAGAGTCAGTCATTTTCTTACTCGGAGGTTCTCCGTATCACAAACAATTTTGAAACTGCTATTGGAGAAGGAGGGTTTGGGAAAGTTTACCTTGGCACTTTAGAAGATGCTACAAAGGTTGCTGTTAAGTTACTTTCTCCATCTTCAAGGCAAGGCTTTAAGGAATTTCAATTAGAGGTTAGAAATAAAAGTAATCAAGTTATAGTTTTTAATTTTTTTTAATAACCCAATGTTGAATATATTCCTATTTGGTAGAATGATGTTCTTATTAAAAATTATGTTCTAAAATAGAGATCTGACTAATTTTAACTTGTAGGCTCAACTCTTAACAGTCATTCATCATAGAAACCTGGTTTCATTTATTGGGTTTTGTAATGAAAACGACATCAAAGCGTTGGTTTATGAATATATGGATCTTGGAGACCTCAGCGGACTATTGGCAGGTTTGTCTTAAAATGATCAAATTAAAACTTCTCTCATATTTCATAATGGTTGGTGTAATTTTACTACGGTTTTCTTGCCTTTATAATATATCTACGGGGAAGAAGTTGGTCGGGAATACCTCCCACAGGAACCTGCGGAATATGACTTTGAAATGAAACATCTATTTTATTGACTAAAAACTTGTGCACAAGAAATTTATTGGCACTCACAACCAAGAAGCTCAAACTTTGTCCATCTGTGTCCATAACTCCTCGCCTGATTTCACTATCTTTAGCATTGTTCCATCAATTCACATCAAAGTTATTTATTTTACCAGCATATAACTTCTAGAAAATTCATTTGCTATGAGATTACCTCCTCAGACTTTTGCCAACAGCTTTTTCGATCATTGATCCTAGTAGAAACTTTTTTTATTCCCTGGGGCAAAGTGAATTTGGATTCCTATATACTTCTAATTAACTCCAATGAATAATTGAATGTCCCAGCATCTAGCATCAAAAACTATATATACTAATCAAAAATTAATTATAAATACCTCACAGATATTAACTTTGAAGTGATGTGGCTTCTTTTGCCAATCCAAGAGTATACCATCGGAGATAGGGAGACTTGATTATCCTCTCAGCAACTAATAGTAAAAGAAGATAACAACTAAAAAGAAAAGAGAAAAATCTCTTCTTTTCAAGTGCTAGTCCCCTCACAAAGTTTCCAAAACTTCTACTTTACCATACTCTTTTTTACCCACTTTTCCCTTTTCCTTCTAAAACAAACTTAGAGTTGACCCAACCTTGACACTTCGATTTGATGTTCAAATTCTTTTAACAGCTTAATTTATATTATACAATTTATTGAATTGTTACATATACATCATCATATGCCTGTTTTGGTTCCTGGCGTTCCATTATATTGACCAAAAACCAATGTCTCTGCAGAGAAAAACTCAAATTTTAAAGTGGAGCGATAGACTACAAGTTGGTGTAGATGCAGCAAGAGGTTAGAGAACTAATGAGTTTTTTCTCTCCTTAACAATCACATTTTACCATAACTTACATAATCTGATGAAGTTTCAGGATTGGAATATCTTCATCATGGCTGTAAGACTCCCATAATTCATAGAGACTTAAAACCATCCAATATTCTGTTAAATCAATCCAGGGTAGCCAAGCTTGCTGATTTTGGATTATCTAGAGCATTTAAAAATGAAAGAGACACTCATCTATCAACTCAACCAGCTGGTACACCTGGTTATATTGATCCTGAGTAAGTCATTGCATTTTATGAATGAAAAATATTAATCTAAAGAAAATAAAAGACTATTGTATGATAAACTAATTGTTGGTTGACCTTGCAGATTTCAAATGTCTGGAAACGTAAACAAAGAAAGTGACATCTATAGTTTCGGTATGATTCTTCTTCAACTGATCACAGGCCATCCACCGGTAAGAAGAGAACTTGAGGATATATGTTTCATCATTGATTGGATCTGTCCAAAAATTGAGTGTGGGGATATCCAAGGCATTGTTGATCTAAGGTTGGCAGGTGAATTCAATGTTAGTTCTGCATGGAAAGCTGTGGAGACGGCAATGTCAAGCATTGCGCCACGGTGCGCCGAAAGGCCAGACATTAGTTATGTGTTGCATGAACTAAAGGAATGTTTAGCTATGGAGATTGGTCTTTCCAATTCAAATGGTATGCCATGCCATCCAATCAATCATTCTGGGAATCTTGATTCAATCACTATCCTCTCAGCTAGGTAGTTTCTTTACATTAGTTTATACTAAAATGGATATTGTTGCGTGTAATACAAAATAGTTTCTTGTTGGACTTGTTCTATAGAAGTCATGTTTTGTTTGATTATGAAGCCTTTTGGCTTGATCATTGTTGTGACATCTCTCTCTGTTAATTTGCTACTGAAATTTCAGTTGATTACTGGGTTTCTATGGCTCTATATTTCATTCTTTATTTATTCCCAATTACTGTTTGGTTTGATTTCATGGATGCATTGATAATTAATGGTCTGAAAAGATGGAAAAGGGAACAAGACATGGGAACAATGGAATAAAGGACGCAAGGAGGATTAGCCGAATAGTAAATTGAATCTTCCATTGATGACATTACTCGAATTTTTTACTCGATTCATATCGATTTTCCTCGGACCATCAAAACTTCGAGTTTTGTTTGGGAATTAATGATTCCACCTACAAATCATGTCCACATAATTTGGAGAGGAAACGGTCAAACATGATTTTTCCAAATTTTTGTTGGTTCTCCCACGGAGATGACACACGACTGGCACCAAATAATTGATAAAGATACGGAAAATGAATTTTTCCAAAATGAAACGAGGGCTTATGAATCATATTATAGGGTCAAAATAATCCAGATAGAGTTTGGGTAAAAAGAAAAAAAAGCATGTTAGTGGATTGGTGATTTTGACTTTTTATTTTTATGTTTTTTTATTAAACTAAAAAAATAAAAATTGTTTAACAGTAACATCATACTTTTTATATATAATTTCAATGAGAAACTATCTATTATACAAAGTGAATTCCACAATCCAAGTCATCATATAATCTTTTAAATCACCCGCTCTAACAACCACAAAAAGACCCACAATGATAATTTTACTGTTTATCCAAAGCCTTAATTAGCAGATTCAAGCTTGTAACTACACTACGTTAATTAGTTAAACTGGAAGAATCTGACCTTCTTATATCTGAAAACTCTTAATAAGATCTGAATGTTGGCATATAACTAGGAATTAGTTTTAAACCATTGGCTAATTGAGAAATATCCTTGTTTACATCGAACAGTAGAATTTATTATCTATTTTATATTTCATATTAATGCATAATTAGTAATATTCATAGGGTTATGTTAACAACATGAATCATAATGAGACAACTCATTGACAAGAATTGAGAGATTAATTAGTAAACTTATTTAGGTGAACATATTCCTCCTATCTTAAATATAATTTCATTTTGTAGTATAATTTATATTATAAAATGAATCTTATATTTAGAATAGGAGAGTATTATATGCCAATGATGAGACCCTTAACTTTTTTTATTTTCCTTTTCGGCCAACGAGACCCTTTACTTGACAACCATCTCTTATTTTAACTCATTCCATTTTAGATATTGATTCATGAGAAATATTACAAATATGGTTGTTCAGTTGCATGATTTTAGTGAAAAAGATATAAAGATGATACAAATATTTTAATATTTTTCTCATTTTTAATATAAAAATTATATTTATAATAAATCAATCCATTATAAACTTAGAAGTTTTGTGAATGTTAAATATTTTGTAAAAATTAGAAAACTAAATTAAAAAAAACAAGATATTAGTTATAATGAATAATGAGAAATTATAACTTTTAATTAAGAAAATAAAAGATATAACCGTAAATGGCGAAAACTTAGTTAATTAACACATGGAGCATTAGATCTAATGCAAGAATATGTGGAGGAGTTCAAGATGTGATACCGGGAAGTCATTAATTGTAAAGTGAATTAATTTTTTTTGTTCATGTCAATTTCATTATTTATTATTAATTTTTTAAAACTTAATCATTTTATTTTCATTAATAACTTTTTTTATTAATATAGTATTAATTATTGCTATATTATTATATAATGATTAACTCATAATTTATTAGGCAAACAATAATCAAATCATTACTAAATTATTATAGGGATATACGCGTGATCTGAGATTGTGAAGAGGTTTTTCAAGAGTTGATGAAGTTTAGAAATTGTTCATATTAAGATAAAGTTTAATTGCATGCTTATTGAAGAAATTATTCTTATCTAGATGAATTTCAAAAGTTGTTCAGTTTAAACAACTTTGACTATCACATATGGGGAAATAATTCTCACCATGCAGCATTTGAAGAATTAATTTCACTGTTTATAGGTTATGAGTAAAAAAACCTCTGAACTCGTTCCCCGTAACGTACAGTAATTAATAGATCAAACTTATGCATGATCCAATTAAAATTTAAAGTTAATGGAATATATTTTTTCTAGCTGGCAAATATTCAAGGTTCGAGCGCACAAACATGCATGCATACATACATACATATACATATTTCTGATCAGAAAGCAATTACAACATATTTTATTCCAATAAAAAAAAATTTTAAACCTCATTAACTCTGCATTACAATTTAATAACTTTTTAACTTAACTTTATTTAATATACATGCACTTTTAAATGAAAAAATAATTTATATGATAATAAATTAAAGGTAAAATTGCATACTCATAAAAATTTTAATGATGTGACTTACAAATAAATAGAAATAAATAAAATATTCTCTCCACTTTATAAATAGAATCAGAAAAGTGTGTGTATTTGCTGCAAATAATTGTGGAAAACCAAAAATATTAAGACATGAAAGCTACAAATGTCAATTATGCAGGACCATCTACACGTTCCAGACAAGACAGCGGGATTTTACGTTTACGGGGACCAAATCAACTAGGAAATAGGGTTTTTAGGAAGAATCACAATGAAATCCCAAATAAAGAATATAATTACTACAAAATCCTAGTGACAACAAGACAGCCTACAATGACAAGTTTTAAAATACTAAATGATAACTTGTCACTTGTTATTGGGACTTTTTAATAATTATATTCTTTATTTTGGACCTCATTGCAATTCTTTCAGTTTTTCCGTGGCCCATATTTAAGGTTGATGTATATATTATATTCATGATGCATGGTTGGTTACCGTAACTAACCAGAGGGAGTAGCTTAGCATAATTTTTCTCTATTTCTTTTCAAATCAAAGATCCATCATTAATTATTAATTAATAATTAAAAAATGCATATAATTAAAGAAACAATGGCACCATACTACGACCTCTCATCAATCCGCCACCTCTAAAAGATCTATCATTAATTATAATTCCCTACAATTTCTATCAATTATTAATTCCCTACAATTTCTATCAATTATTAATTCCCTACAATTTCGAGTTATATAAACACACACTACCCCACCATCTTTACTAGCCCACACAAACCTCTGCTCATCTCGGTTTGAATCTGACATCTGTCGAGCTGCATGTTTAGGCCATCTCTATTTTTTCCCCTTACCTTCTACTTAATGAACTGTTTGAAATAATGCCTTTACTTTGTCGCTTTGGAATTATTCTAAAAATTAACCGAATTAATACAATATAGTGCACAATCCGGGTTGTATTCACTTTGAGGAGCCGAAAATAAAATTAAATCCTACTAAATAAATGCAAGTAACCTAAACTATAAAAAGAATTTTTGATTTTTATGAATTGCTAACTAAATACTATGAATCAAATTGAAATTAAAATACTTTTTTTTAATATATAAGAATGATTAAAATGAATGATGATGAAGGAAATGAAAATGAAACACGCGAGTAAACAATGATAATAATCAATCCTCCAATTCAACAATGCAGGCAATCCTCACTCTAAAAGATACGTGAATTAAAACAATGAATTAAGAATAATAATTAAGCTTTTAATCCAACAACCGAGTCACCTCAAATTACCACAAAATATTTTTGTAAAATCCCAACTTACTAACTGCAACCAGAATAGTAAAATGGGATTAAGGATGCTAAAAACTAATGTTTAATTATAACTCTTAAATCCAAAACAATAGAATTAAAGCTAGCAAGAGACAATATGATCTAAGATTCTAAGCCACCTCAGAAAACCACAATATATTAACTCCAAAGTCAATACAAGTGTCATAACCACAACATTATAATTGAAATTAAAGCTATAAACAGCCCAATGTCAAATGCTAAACAGTAATCTAGCCACAATAATCCCCAAACATAATCAGATTAAGCAATACAATTATCCCAACAATCAGAAAAACTATCCTAAGACCTAGGAATTGTTAAACAATTATTGAGCAGGAAATTAAAGCAACTAAAACTCCCCTGTGAAGATCCAAGCTCCTGCCATTGTTGTTGAATTAGAGAATTGAGGAGCTCTAACCACGGTTAGCCATGAAAAATGCCACAATCAATGCTTTGTTACGATTTGCCATGGAAGAGATGATGGAGACGTGGAAGACGATGATGAAATAGTGGATGATATTGAAGGAAATGGAGGAAGGATACGCTGATGGTGGATTTTGGTGGATATGGAAGATGATGATTTGAGGTGAAGAAACAGGAGGTTGGGGAGATGATCGCCGTCGCTAGTCTCCTCTCTGGTTCTTGTCACTCTTCGCGGCGTTGCTCATTGGTTCGCTCTTCAAGAAGGAGAAGAAGAAGATGATGGATGGCAGTTGAGCTCCCCTAGTTGTCTCGTGTTCTTGATAAATCCTATTTTAATATATGATTTAATGTCTTTTTGGGGATATTTATCAATTAAAGTAGAATAATTTACATTGATTGTGGATATTTTGAATTAAATATTGGTGGCACAAAATTAGAAATTTAAAAGAAAATCTTATCATATTTTATCTCTTTTTAAATAATTGATTTTGGGCTTTATGATAGTACCTCAATTTATCTTTTGTAGGTCTCAGAAAAGGAAATAAACATAGAAGGAAAGCTGAAACAAAAGGAAAAGAATTAAAAAAAAAGAAAGAAAAGAAAAAGACGCAAGAGATGGAAGGCATGGATTTTGAAAGATATTAGGTTATATATTAAATCCATCAATTGCAAGACGGAGGCCATATACACAATCCCACCCTTCAATTCCATTCATCAATACCCTTTCCTTCATGCACGCATACAC